CCATGGCCCCCCACTTGCCACTCCTGGAGCCGTCCCACCCCCTGCCCCCCATGCCCACCGTGTCCCCACCTGCTCCAGCCGAAGAAGGGGGGGACGGCGACGCCGACACCGATGATCCAGGTGGCTGCCACGACCAGCAAGGCATGGCGGGAGTTGAAGCGGAAGTTGCCGAAGGGTTTGCAGATGACGATGTAGCGCTCAAAGGCCAGGAAGGCCAAGGACCACCCTGTCACCAGCCCTGGGGGAACAAGGCCACTCTTCACTCACACAACCGCCCATGGCCACCGCAGCTACAGGTCACCTCAATTCCCATAGCCCCCCAGGCCACTGGGTCACCCCATATCCTATGACCTCAGTAGAACGTAGTCATCGCCCCCACCTTCCGGCCTCAGTGGTCACCCCAGCTTCTCCAGCCACCAGGGCAGATCACAGGGCTCAACCCTGCCCACTTTGCCACCTTCAGCCCCACCAGACCACAGTGATCACCTCAACTCTCCCAGCCCCAGAACATAATGGCCACCCCCACTTCCAGACCCCAGAGGTCACCCCAACTCCGATAGTCCCGCCAGACTACAGTGGTCAACTCCTAAGGGTCCAGAAGGTCACCCCAATGCCTGCACCCCAGCAGCCTGCGGTGGTCACCCCAGCTCCTAACGCCTTGGCAGAATTTGGTGGTCAACAGTACCCCGAGCCCTACCAGACCATGGTGGTCACCCCAACTCCCACAGCCCCAGGAGATCACTGTGGCCACCTCTGGCCCTAGTAGCCCTCAGTGGTCACTCCATCATCCCTGGCCCCAGCAGCCCGAGTACCCCCGTGGTCCCCTCGTACCTCCGGTGGCCCCTGCAAAGCCCTCAAAGGCACACATGTGCTTCCCGAAGACAAAGTACCCCTGGGAGCTGGAGACGAAGACGGTGAAGATGCAGAAGACGCAGCACATGAGGCCGCTGATGGAGATGTTCACCAGGATGTAGTTGAGCGGCTGCCGCAGCTTCTTGTACTTGATGGTGACGATGAGGACAATGGCGTTCAGGGGGGTGCCCGCCACGAACACCAGCCCCATGAAGATGGTCTGCAGGTAGAAGGCCCACATGGGCGCGATGTGGTACTGGGGCCCATCCCAGGGCCCCACCGACGACTGGTTCTTGAACAGGTAGAACTCCTCCTCGTCCATGGTGGCGGTGGTGGGGGGGGGGGACGCCCACCCCCCTGATATACCCTGCGCCCCCAAAGCTGCTTAACGGGGATCAGGGCTCAGCCCGGCCAAACTTGGGGATTAGGGTGGGCTAAACTGGGCTCAGCGCCTAATCGGCCCCCTGAGCCGGGCTGAGCCGATTACCGGGGCTCTGGGGGATTTGGGGGGGGGCAGAAGGGCTCCCCCCAACACCTGGGTATGGGGAGGGTCCCCAGAGGTCTCAGAGCTTGACCCTGCTCCTCCTGGGGTGTTCAGGTGTCCCCAGATGTTTCCAAGCCCACTCTTGGTCACACGACAACAGCCAGAGGTCTCCAGACTTAGTCCTGGTCCCATCAGGGTCCTCAGTGTGCCCCAGGGGTCCCCAAGCTCCGTCCTGGTCCCCCCTGTATGACCAGGTGTCCTCAGGTATCCCCAGGGGTCCCCACATGTCTCCAACATGCTCTCCCAGGATGGCCCAGCTCTGGATGCCTTGGGAAGAACTTGGAGTTTCCCTCATGAGGCCACCCCTGCTCCCCACCCCAGCGCCCCAGGGTGCCCCCCCCGGTGTCCCCCCTGTCCAAAGCCATTGTGCCCAGTTCTGGGCTTAGGGGGATCCCTGTGCTGGGGAGACCCCAAGTGAGATGGGGGGAGTCTGGGGGTATCAGGGGCTGGGGGAGAAGACTGGGGGAGGCACTGCTTGAGGTGGGGTGTGTGAGGAGTGTTCATTTTGGGGGTGCAGTGCTGGGGGGTCAGTGATAGAGGGTCACTGTGGGGGTGCACTGCTGGGACTCAAGTTCCATCACTCTCCCAGCGTTTCCTGCCCTCCCTCACCCCTCTTTCCCTCCCCCAGCCTGCGGGACCCCCGGGGAACAGGAAGGATGAGCAGAAGCCGCTTATGGGGGGATTACAGGCGCTGGGGCCCCCCCGGGCTGGGGGTGCCTATAAAGGCCGGTGCAGGGGCTGCGCTCTGGGACCCCCAGGGAAGGGGGAGCTGGGACTGGGGGTGACACCTCCAGGGGAAGCTGTGCCCCCGGGAAGTGTGGGTGGGGCGCACACCCTGGGGCACCCCTGGGGTTCTGTCCAGCTCTGGGGCAGAGATGAGGCCAGGGGGGCTCAGGGGTGGGCCAGGGGAGGAACAGGGGGATTGGGTAGGCTGAACACCCAGCCCGTGTTTTACCGGGCAGTACTGGGCTGTACTGGATCATACTGGCCTGTACTGTACTGGTTTGTACTGGGGTTACTGGACTACACCGGGCTGTACTGCACTGTGTTGTCTCACGGATTGTACTGTGTCCTGTTGGGTTGTAGTGGGTCTGGTCATACGGTACCAGGATGTACTGGGCTGGACTGGGCCATACTGGATCAGGTCAGCTCTGCTGCTGCTGTATTGGGCACCCCCCAAATGGGGGCCCCAGGGTGGTGATGCAGGGGACAGACACCCCACAAAGGGTGCCCCATGTCCCTCCCCTCCGTCACCGTTCCCCTGGGGAGCTGCGGTCACTGCGGTCACTGCGGTCACTGCGGTCACTGCGGTCACTGCAGGGCTGCAGAGCAGGGGACACAGCGCAGGGGTGTGGGAGCTGCGGCACAGCTGGGGCTCAGTGGGGCACAGTCAGGCCTTGGTGGGGCTGCCCAGGGAGGTTTGGAGTCCCCATCCTTGGAGGTGTCCCAGGAATGCCTGGATGTGGCACTCAGGGCTCTGGGACAAGGTGGGGGCACAGGTTGGACTCGCCAGCCTTGGAGGGCTTTTCCAGCCTCAGGGATTCTGTGGTTCTGGAATGGTGGCCACAGAGTGGGGAAGGGACTGGGGGCTCAGGGGGTGCTGCAGCAGGAGGTGCTGAGCGTGGAGCTCCGGGGCCCCGGCACCGCCAGCCCTGCCAGGACCCCCAGCACCCACCAGCGCAGGCACCACCAAGCCCCAGCGCCCACTGGTGCCGGCAGCACCACCTCCATACGGGACCCACGGCCCCCCAGAGCTCTGTCTACAGCCCCATGGCCCCCACGGGACTCCCAGGACCTCCAAGTTGTTGCTCTTGTGCCCTCCTGGATGTGGCCCCACAGAGGTCCCTGCTGTCCCCAGGGCCACGTTCCCTGTGTCCCACTGTCCACGTACCCCTCGCTCCCCTCTCCCCCATGCACCCCAGCCCTGGCCCCCTTGTCCTCATGGCCTCAGCGTCCCCCTCTTCCCCTCTCTGTGCCCCCACGCTGCCGATGCTCCCCTCCCCATGTCACCCCACCCTGAGGACCCCGAGTGTTTCCAACCCCAGAAAAAGCAGAAAAAAAACAGAAAAACGCAGGAAACCCAGAGCCAGGGGCAGAGTGAGGGGACACTGGACTCAGGGTGTCACCACAGGGGGCAGTGGCTCTACCCTATGTCCCCTCCCAGGAGACATTGGCGGGGGGTCAGGTCCTTTGTCCCTTCATCGTGGTCTCCACCATCATCTTCCTCTGCCCTTCCTCCTTGGCTGTGGCAGAGCCGAGACTCCGGGGGGCACTGGGACCCCTGTGGAGCACCCGGCCCCCCTGGCTCCCCCTGGAGCATCCTGAACCCCCATCCTGGCCTACACTCATCCCCCCGGAGTGCCCCGACTGCTCAGACACCCCTGGACCACCCTGGACCTCCACAAACATCCTGACCCCCACCTCCCAGACCACCCTGACCCCCTCCAACAATCCGCTCGCTCCTGTTCCCACACCTGCCCTGGCTCTGGGGGTCCTGCTGGGGCACGCTGCCGCCTTTCGCCCCCAGCCCCGCGGCGTGCCCCCCCAGCCCCTTGCCCTGGGGTATTTTGGGTGCTGGTGTGTTGGGGGTGCCCCCCCCCGCCTGCCCCCCCCGGGTATTTTGGGTCCCGCTGCGTGGCTCTGACTCGGCAGGTTATTTTTAGGTGTTGGCGCAGGCGCCACCGCGTCACCCCCACCACGTCACCCCCCCACGTCACCCCCTGTCACCCGTTGTCACCTCGGGGTGCACCCGCACCGCCCCCCCTCCCCCGCTGGAAGCTTCCAGGGCAGGCAGCGGAACAGGGGAACACGATACTCCCCAAATCACCCCCCATGAGGACCCAATGTGGGTCACACGAGTGTCCCCCCCCGCCCCTCCCAAGGGTGTCGAGGAGGCCTCGGGCGTCTGGGGTGGGGGGGAGACACAGGAGAGATTCGGGGGGCAGCGGGGTTCAGGGCTAACCCCCAAATATGACCGAACCCCCTTCCCAGGCACGTGCCACTACCATGGGGAAACTGAGGCACGGCTGGAATCAGCGGGGGGGAGTGGGGCGCAGCCGGGGGGGGACTGGGTGGGGGTTCCACGGCCGGGGTGGTTCTGGAGGGGGAATCCCGGTGGGTTTTCCAGGAGGGGGATCCCGAGAGGGTTTGTGGGATCTCAGCTGTGCCCCTCGGGGCTGGGGGAGAGTTTTCATGTGGGTTTTTCAGGGGTTCCCAAGTGGGAAGGGATGAGTGAGGGGGTTCGGAGTTTGCAGGGTGTCTTTGTGCGGGTTTTGGGGTGCGTTGTGCTGCTGGGGGCCTGCGGTATTGGGGTGCCTGTGGTGTTGGGGTATCGAGGTACAGGTGTATTAGGATAACAGGGTGTTGGGGTGCCTGGGCTATAGGGTGCTGAGGTTTTGGGGTGTCGAGGTTGCAGGGATTTGGGATTATTGGGGGTGGATTCTGGAGTTTGGGGGTGCTTAGATTTTGGGATGCCAGAGTTTTGGGGGTGTCTGTGTGCCAGGATTTGGGGTACCAGGGTTTCAGTGTAGGGAGGCTGGGGTTCTTGGGCCGAGGTTTGGTGGTGCTGAGGTTTGAGGGTGCCAAAGTTTAGGCGTGCCAGTGGTTCGGTGTGCCAAGGTTGGAGGTGCCAATGTCTGGGGTCAGGGGGTTCTGAGCTGCCAGAGCTTGTGGCATTGGACTTGAGGGTATTTGGGGAGTTTTGGGGTGTTGGGGTGCCAGTGTTTGGGAGTTTGTGGGTGCCGGCGTTTTGGGGTGTTTTTATTTGTGAGTGTCAGTGTCTGGGTGTGCCGGTGTTTGAGTTCATTGAGGTTTTAGGCATGTCGGAGATTTAGGGGCGCTGATATTTGTGCGTGTTCGGAACTGCCTGGGTCTGGGGGTTTCGGGGATGCCGGGGTTTGGGGGAGCCTTGGGCCGGGAGTGCCGAAATCGGAGGGTCCGAGGCGTGCTGGGATCCCGGCTTTCGGGAGGTGCCGGATTCGGGGGGTTTGAGGGTGCCGGAGTGCGGGATTCGAGGGGTGCCGAAGTTCGGGGGTCCGGGAGTGAGGCCGGGACTTTAAATACCGAGGGCCGGGCCCCCCACCCCCCGGCCGGTCGGGCGGTCTTTCCGTCCCTCCTGGTCGGTCCCTCCCCGGGACGGGGCGGGCCGGGCCGGGGCAGCGCTTAAAGCCGCCGCCGCCCCCGGCCCCGCCACTTGCCGCCGTCGCCCCCTGCCCGGGAACGCTCCTGGGACGCACCGCGAGCACACGGGACCCACCGCGAAACGCTCCGGGAACAATCGGAAACCGGCCCGGGAACCTACGGGATCCGCCAGCCCTCCGGGAGCCGCCGCTCCGCTCCTGGAACCCGCCCAGATCCAGCCCCGCCACCGGGAACTTGCACTGGGACGGACCCAGGACACCAGCCCCCGACTCCGGGAATAGAGACGCGTACCCAGGACACCGGTACCGAGCAGCGAACCCCTCCCGGGACACCGGGACTGAGACGGGACCCCATCCCCAGACACCCGTACTGACCCCGGGAACCGGGACCCTCCCTGAGCAGCGGGACTGACCGAGGACACCGTCCCCCATTGCCGGGAGCTGGGACCCCACCCAGGACACAGGCACCCACCCGGACCCCCGCCCAGGAACCGGGACTGACCCAGGACGCCATCCCCCAGCACCGGGACCCCAGAGCGGGCACCAGCTCCCACCCAGGGCCCCCACCGGGACACCGGCTCTGACCCAGGACACCATCCCCAACCCAGGACAACGTCCCCCAGCACCAGCTTTGCCACCGGGACCCAGATCCCCCT